AAAAGGAAAAATAATAATAAAAACAGAGAGAGAGAAGAAACTTTTTTATTTTGATTAAGGAATAGGATGAAATCCATGTTAGAARRGAGAGAAGGAGAAAGTCAGAAATAAATAGAAAAGAAGAACAAATAAATRAAAAATATATAACAAAAAGGTAATTAAAAGAGGAAAAAATTAAAAAGAAAAGGGGGGAAGAAAGGGGAAGATGGAAGGTTACTACGGTCCAAGTATTAACAGAAGTGGTGCAAGATTAAAATAAATAAAAGGAATAATAATTTAAAGGTAAAAATAATAAAAAATATAAAAATATGAAAGATATAATGATAATTTTAAATAACTAGAAAATTCAAAGGAAAATCTTGAAAGAAAGGAAAATAAAATAAAAAATCAAGAAAGTAGCAAAATAAAAAAAAAAAGAGAGAGAGAAAAAACAACAAACAAAATCAAAATCCAAAAATCACTAAAAAATAAAAGAGGGGAAAAAAGAGAAGGAAGAAAGATTGGTGTAGATTTCACTGTGTTGTGTGCTAAAGTTTGGGGACTAGTGAACCTTGTGGCAGCTGAAAGTTTTCTAACCCTTTACCATTTGAGGGTTGTAAAGTACGAGGACCAAGGAACCCTCAAGCAGCACTAAAGGTTTTTTAACCATTCACCATTTGAGGGTTGTACACTAAAGTTTGAGGACCAATGAATCCTGTGGTGGCGCGCTGAAGGTGGACCAATGGACCTTGTACCTGTGTTGAAGGTTCTCTAATGCGCTTAGGATTCCTAGTTTGGAGAAGTGAAAGAAAGAACTCAGACTAGGATCCCAATTATGGTAGCCAAATGGTAAAGGAACAAGCTATTGATGGCCATTGCAGGACACCTACAATTTCCTATTGACTAATATTGGGTACATGTCGCAATCAYTAATGTATTATTAGAACTATTCCAACAACCATTTGAGAAGAGACCCACCATAGTGCCCATGATACTGGCGTAGTTGCTGAGAGTAACACATTGTCTTTT